TTTACTGAAGGACATTTCAAAGCCTCTTTACTTTGACTTTGGTAAAAGTAGAAGTACTGACTAAACTTCTTTACTCAAGTATTTTTAAACACAAGTATCTGTACTTCTACTTTTACCAGAGTATTTTTAAACACGAGTATCTGTACTTCTACTTGAGTAAAGGATGTGTGTACTTTGCCATCTCTATAAAGTGATAAAGTGATTGTTTCTCAGGTGATCAAAACCCTGGACCCGAAGCAGCAGCCGGACCCCGGGGCTCCGGAGATTCAGGCTCTGAAGAACCAGCTGACGGAGAAAGAGAAGAAGCTCCAACACCTCGAGGTACGAAGTCTCTGACATCAAGAGATAAACGATGAACCCTGTGTAGCTGCTTTTATAAAAAACGAATGACTAATGAATGCTGATGTGTTGCAGCACGACTACGAGAAGAGCCGAGTCCGACACGACCAGGAAGAGAAACTCATCATCACCGCCTGGTACAACATGGTGAGTTTAAGAGTACAGAAAAAACATGAGGATGACCGAACAGGTTTTTATGCATTTCAAAAACAATACAGGTTTTGATTTAGAGCTGAAACTCATTTGTTTACTTCAAGAATATGGTGACATGACTTTATAAAACTCACGCTCTTTAAAGGAGAGACACTACATACTGATATACACCTGAACATCAGCAGGAGAGGACTCTTTAAAGAAGAGACANTTCTCACAAGATTGTATTAGTATATTAAAGGTGTGGTAGGTAATTTTGGAGAAACCATTTCTTCCGGCTGTGTATTTTCAAAATCTAGCGCACTCGAGCTGGTTTCTCCAAAATTACCTACCACACCTTTAATATACTAATACAATCTTGTGAGAAGACTATAGCAGTCCTCAGTTTCTCTTGGGTGTGTCCTGTGTGTTGAACTTACTGTGGATACAGCTTATGGTGCAGTCAACATCTGCAGCATAGCACACCTCTGTCAAACACATGAAGTAGATCTGAGGAAACAAACAAGAACACATTGAAACCGTTTTACTAGACAATAAAAATAAATGTTTCCATGCTGAACAACGGCAACATGACAACATTTTCATTGGTCCCTCTTCTTTAGAGAAGACCAATAATAATAATGATCACGCCACCAAACACACATTCAAACTAAAGGAACCAGCCTGTTTGGAAAATGATAGAAGTAGAAAGTACAGGTATTTGTGTTCAACATGTAAGAAGTAGAAAGTGGTATTTGGGTTCAAAATGTAAGAAGTCAAAGTAAAAAGTCGTTAGAAGAATAAGTAGTGGAGTAAAGTACTGATACCAGAGACATATACTTAAGTACAGTAACAAAGTATTTGTACTCCACTACTTCCCACCTCTGTAATTATGTACTTTTCATAATTATTGTCCTGTATGAGCATGTTAGTTCAGAGGGAGTTACCTCGGGGTCCTGCAGGTGAGAGGATCCTCCTTCAGTCAGGAGGGGGGGGCTCTCAGAGGGCGGAGACTGGAGGGCAGGGATCAGGATCCTCTGGGTGGGAGGGGGGGTGGAGCGAGAGGAAGGGAGCAGCTGGGAATCACCGCGACAACTAAACAGAAAATAAATGACATGTAGAAAGCATTTAAAAACACTTTTAAACTTTGCAATACGGACAAAACTTAGAGCTGTAAATATATAATTTAACTGCAATACTCAATATACTCTATTACAGTTATTACAGTGAAAATGTAATGCAAATGTCAGGTTATCAGCATCAAGCATATTTACTAACATTACACCACTTTTTATTTTACAATATAGACATTTTTGCTTTTGACTTCTTGCATAAATCTTATTGATAATTTTGTATATATATATATATTCGATAATAACTGAATAACCCCTCAGGGATGATTTCAGTTTTCTGACTCTGATTTACAGCCAATAGTTTGACCCAACAATACAAAAGCACAATCCACACTAAAATATCAAAAGGGGGTGAGAGTGGTTTTTATTTTATTGGTGTGTTTGCCAACATATTTAATGTCTGCTCTTTCTATCTGCACTGTGTTATCGCTGTAACAAAACAATGTTTCTTTTCCATGTATTGTGTCTTGATATGTGTCTGTTGATGTTACACATGGAGCTGCTGTGATGCAAGCCACATTTCAGACTTGATCCGACCATTAAAGTATTATCGTATCGTAAGATGGCAACGTCAACACCTACCCATCGTAGACCAGCCTCCAGCTGCTGTGCGGTGTGTGTGTGAACGCCAGGCAGGAGTGAACCAGCAGCAGCAGGTGGGGGGCGGGGGGGTCCTGAAGGCTCAGCTGCAGGTAAACAGATCCTCCTCCAATCACGCTGAGAGGAAGGTGAGCCTCAGGGTGGAAGCTGCTGAACGACTCGTCTGTGTACAAAAAATAAATAAATCTGAAACTCAAAATTGTGCTTCAATTGAATTTCTCCACATTCAAAATGTTCAGTTACTTTGAAGAATCTGATTAATAATACAACATATATCAGATTTGTATCCAACATTAATGCATCAATCATTTTAAACACAGTAATAATATATATTTGTACTGAAATAGGCGATACGATAACAGGTAAGATTTTGATGCAGGACTTTGACTCGTAACTGAGTTTTCATACTGTAGTGTAGCGTTCAGGGTATATGCAGGAATCCTGAAGTCAAATGTAAGACCTTTTAAGACCTTTTTTAAGACCCTCTCCATACATTTTAAGACCTCATCGCCACTTGGAGTTTTAACCGGTTACCTTGGCGACACACTTCACCTCACATTTACTATATACAGTATTCATTGTCCTTCCTCCTTATCTTCCAACCATTTGGACGCAGACTTGCATTTCCCCATAACGATG